AAAACGTTGTTAAAACGTTGTTTGTTTTGGAGCGCCTATAACAATTATTTTAAAATATCTCTTTTAAAGTTTGTATTTTATAAAATGTTCAAGCTTATGTTATTTGAGCCGCGCCATGATAAAACCGACATAAAGCGTTTGCGACCAGCATGGATCCAGATCAGCTTGCGCATCCGCACAGTCTGACCAGGACTTACAAACTCTATAACAAATGAAGAAACTAATAGCGAACAGCATGGATCCTGATCAGACTGTGCGGATGTGCAGGCTGGTCTGGATCCATGCTGGTCGCAAACCCATTATGTTGGTTTTGTCATGGCTCGGCTCATTTATTGCATGAACATTTCTTTTTAAAAAAAAGTTTTGTATAAATAGAGAAATTCTAAACACCTCTCGCCACAATAACTTATGTATGAAAATATGTAATCTTGGTTAGCATTCGTATATAATATGTTATTGCCACCTGATACAATAATAATGTGGTAATATAAGATGATGTTATATGAATGATGATAGCAAATGCCTGTTTTAGCAAGAACAAACCATAAAACAAAATAAATATATCGTGTTTAAAATGTGTTGCAAAGTCAAAACAGCTCGTGATCAATATCAATAATTTTACAACGTGTATACATTTTAATCAAACTTCTTAAGTCTTTCTGCCAGGCATTCTAAAATGTCAAAGCTTTTATTTATAGCACTTTATGAATTAAGATATCTATTAATACGCGGGAGTTAGTTCAGGAAACTATTAAATAATCAAGATAGAATATATTGCATAGAAATAGATTCCCAGAATTGCCGAAAGCAGACGGATACTATTAGATAATTGTATTACAGACTTAACATTTATAGCTTATAAATATAAAAGCAATTTTAGATCATAAAAAGCCACAATTATTATTCGGAAATGTATTTCTATGTAAGAGATAAACATATTTTTTTTCAGAATATATTTTGGTAAGTCACGTGAATATCAAAAATATTTTCATAAAGGATGCACATGTGCTTGTATAATCATATTATCTGCCATGGAATATTCTACAAACAATAGTAAACATCAAACTAGTCTTTCTTCTATGTAAAACCTTTACTGGGAACCATGATACAAAAACATGTAATTTTAAAAAAAATGTTCATGCTTCATCGCTATAAATCAAACGCTGCTTCAGCAATACACGAACAATTATTATTCTGTTGCATTGCAAAAAATAGGCAAAATGTGATCTCTAAAGAAAGAAAATGCTTTTTTACTAGCTTCTATAAAATACTTTGATTTGAAAGTGAAGACATATGAAGGGTATTTTCAACGGAAAATAATTATAATTCAAGAAAGTACTATCCTTTTTAAAACATATTCTATGTTAAGAATTGATGCTGACAAAGGACAATAAGCAGTTATTGTAGCTTAAAATTCACTGTACACAGACACAGAATATCTACAGTTTCATTCAAATAAAAAATATGTTGATCTCAGTTTGTTTTAGTTTTGATTTTATTACCAGTACATTATGCATGATTAAAAAGTCAAAAAAAAAAAAGAAAACAAAATAATACATGTCTCAAGCTAGGTTTTGAACTCCGATTTCTTGGTTGACAATCAACAACAACATCCTCTAGGCCAGAGAGTCTACTACAGTAAATGTCGTTAAAATAAATTCTATACTTTAAACTACTATCTGTAATCTTTTGTCCATCAATGTGAGGTTATCTTTTGTCAATCAATGTGAGGTTGTCTTTTTTCCATCAATTTGAGGTAATCTTTTGTCCATCGATGTGAAGTAATCTTTTGTCCATCGATGTGAAGTAATCTTATGTCCATCTATGTGGGGTTATCTTTTGATGTGTAATCTTTTGTCCATCGATGTGGGGTTATCTTTTGTCTATCATTGTGAAGTTATCTTTTGTCCATCGATGTGAAGTAATCTTTTGTCCATCGATGTGGGGTTATCTTTTGTCCATCGATGTGAAGTAATCTTTTGTCCATCGATGTGGGGTTATCTTTTGTCCATCGATGTGGGGTTATCTTTTGTCCATCAATGTGAAGTAATCTTTTGTCCATCGATGTGGGGTTATCTTTTGTCCATCGATGTGAAGTAATCTTTTGTCCATCGATGTGAGGTAATCTTTTGTCCATCGATGTGAAGTAATCTTTTGTCCATCGATGTGGGGTTATCTTTTGTCCATCGATGTGGGGTTATCTTTTGTCCATCGATGTGAAGTAATCTTTTGTCCATCGATGTGGGGTTATCTTTTGTCCATCGATGTGAAGTAATCTTTTGTCCATCGATGTGGGGTTATCTTTTGTCTATCATTGTGAAGTAATCTTTTGTCCATCAATGTGAAGTAATCTTTTGTCCATCGATGTGAGGTTATCTTTTGTCCATCGATGTGAAGTAATCTTTTGTCCATCGATGTGAAGTAATCTTTTGTCCATCGATGTGGGGTTATCTTTTGTCTATCATTGTGAAGTAATCTTTTGTCCATCAATGTGAAGTAATCTTTTGTCCATCGATGTGAAGTAATCTTTTGTCCATCAATGTGGGGTTATCTTTTGTCCATCAATGTGAAGTAATCTTTTGTCCATCAATGTGGGGTTATCTTTTGTCTATCATTGTGAAGTAATCTTTTGTCCATCAATGTGAAGTAATCTTTTGTCCATCAATGTGGGGTTATCTTTTGTCCATCGATGTGGGGTTATCTTTTGTCCATCGATGTGAGTTAATCTTTTGTCCATCGATGTGGGGTTATCTTTTGTCCATCGATGTGGGTTTATCTTTTGTCCATCGATGTGGGTTTATCTTTTGTCCATCGATGTGAAGTAATCTTTTGTCCATCGATGTGGGGTTATCTTTTGTCCATCGATGTGGGGTTATCTTTTGTCCATCGATGTGAAGTAATCTTTTGTCCATCGATGTGGGGTTATCTTTTGTCCATCGATGTGAAGTAATCTTTTGTCCATCAATGTGAGCGCGTAACCCTTGCACCACGAAAATGTTTAACGAAAACGGCCTGAATAAAACCAAATAATTCTAATTTTAGAATATCCATTCCCACAGATATATAAATCTTATATTTAGCTCCATACGAAAACCTAGCTAAACACCGTTTTCCGGTACGTTGCGGATTTAGCTCTGGAGAATTACACCAAATGAAGTACATAACACAGTTACATGATATTTCTATTTTTCTATCATCATTATACCGTTTAAGGTTGAAAAAATTAATATTTTTGAAAATTATCAATATTCCTTTAATATCTATTGCAAATTTTTGAAAAAAAATAAATTGTTTGTAATGAAAATCAATAAAATTTAAACAGACGTAGTGGAATCTTCCATAATAAATAAGGTTATTTTCTGCGTAAACTTGTGTATTTAGTTTATTTTTTGTATGGAATTATTCATACAATGATATTCAATTATTTTCTTACAAAGAAATAACTGTTTTATTTCAATTCTATTTTAAAAAAGGCCAAAAACGTCGAGTTCGCTATTACACTCCATTAGGTGAATTCCCCAGAGCTATGTACAGAAAGTACCGGAAAACGGCGTTTAGCTAGGTTTTCGAATTCGTGAATCCTTATTAATTTCGAGGTATTTTCTTCACGATATGCCTGTTGTCTAAAATCGATGTAAATAATTTAGCGAAAATCTTCTCACAAAAACAGTCCGACATGTATATATTCAACTACTCGACAGTGTAATACGCTCTGAGGTATTCGGTAATCGACATCGCTAAAATAGCATTTTCATATTCATTCGCGTAATTGGTAAATTGACAATTCTATAAGCCAACGCTACTTTTAAACTTTGAATGCGTTGTAATTTGTTTGATACGTGTAACAAAATAAAAATATTTCTTTCTTTAACATCGCTATTTTTAAGCTGTTTTGAGAACAACTTGTTGTTAGGTTTGTCGTGAAAATTCTGTTTCAGAGATTGAACGTCAGCATTGTATTTTCTGATCTGCGATTGATCAGTTCCTGCAGTCAATAGGGGACCTATTCATAATTTGACGCGGAGACATTTTTTAGTTTACAATGTTTCAATTACTGGTAACCTTTTGCAATATTGCTTCTTGACGTTTTTTTCTATTTGGCGACTTTCCAGCTTAGGTGGGAAAAGTATCGTTGCTGATTTGGAACGCTTTTTTGCGTCGTGTTGGCGTCGTGTTGGCGCCAAACGGCGTGTTATCGGACCTATGTCTTGTAGTCCTGTCGCTTGTGTTGCACGCCAAACGGCGCGTTGTCGTGCGGCGTGTTATCGCGATTTCACATTGTCGCTGGACTGGCTTATAAGCCAAGCGACAGGACGACATCGCACTGCACGACAACGCGCCGTTTGGCGTGCATCGTTAGCGACAGGACGACAGTGCGACAACGCGCCGTTTGGCGCTTGCTCGTGTTATCGATAGCGACAAGACTAAAAGGCAATATCGATATAGGTTTTGTTGTCGCTAGCGACAACGCAACGCGCAGTGTTCCAAATCAGCCACCATAGGAAAAACCTAGGGTTCTTCTCCTACATTATTTCAGACACAAAACGTTGTTTTCAATTTCCATTTTTTCCTGTTATGATTGAGTTGCGTGCAATTAATTGTACGAAATATAAACACATTTTAAAATCAATAAAAAATTGTACAATGTCTATACAAAGTGGCTGGACACAATTTATATCAAAATTAGCTTGGGTCTTAAGGCTTTTAATTCGCCTATAAGTTCAATATAACAATGTGCTGTATAACCCGTCGACAGAAAACGATTCGTACCGTATCTACTTTTAAATGTTGACGTTACAATGTTATTAACATATTCGCTTAAACATCACATCTGAACTCCATTGCCTGCCAGGAAACAGTATGATCTTTTCAACTATGTTCAATGCCTAGCTATTCAAAATATCCATTGAAATAATCAATTAAAATGAATGAACAATCAAATATTTTTAAAAGCTGAAAGTCACCATAATTACCGACAATCTGTTTCGGTGTGAATATATGAAAATCTTACGTAACACGTGTGATGGTGAATAAGCATGCGTTACGATCGATTGACCACTGACTTAAGGCAACAGATGCCAGATTTTATCCAATACTTTGCCATCTTATATTGATATATATTAAATAAAATCGGAAGTAGTATACATGTATAAAACCGAAAGTTTATGTGGTGTTATTATACACTGATTTTATTTGCAGACGACATTTTTTCCTCATTGACGTCGAGTGCAGATCTGGTTCAATTCATCGCCGGTTTCCATGGGTGAGTTTGACTTCTTTTATCCTCATTCATTTATAGGTATTAATATTCTGTTTTTTTCTTTGTCAATTATTAATGAAAAAAATCATTTTAGCATGTGAGTACTGATCAATATTCTATGGTATATGATATTCATATAATTAAGCGAATGGATATGTTTGTTGTTGTTGTTTTTCAACGATCACGTTCAGTTTTTGAAAAGCTAATCGATGACAGTGACATGTATAATTTTATGTTATTTCTAGGGTAATGGCTAGAGAAATATTTTCTTGCTAGAAATTTCCTCTCTTTGGGTTCAAATCGATATCATTCGTAAATTGGGTATAATTTTTACCGACCAATTGTTCATGCCGGTAACTCGTTTCATCAAATAGCTGATTTAAAGCAACAAAAATGCCTCCAGATTAATAAATACTGAAAATCAGTAATCACACATAGCATGTTTATTATTTTTTTAATCTTGAGTCTTTTTACTATTCTTAAAATGTCGGTTGATTTTCTGGAAATATAACGGCTCATCTCGAGGCATATGCAGCTTTAAGATTTCTCAGATTTAAACGAAATGATATATACGAACAACAACAAAAAATAATCAGAAAAAAAATACAGCTACTGTTGTATTCATAATCATCATTTTGTTCATCATCATCATCAACATTATCATCAACATTATCAACACCATCATCATCAGCATCACCATCATCATCATCATCATCATCATCATCATCATCATCATCATCATCATCATCATTATCATCATCATCATCATAATCATCATCATCATCATCGTCGTCGTCCTCGTCGTCGTTGTCGTTGTCGTCGTGACCGCCACTGTCAAAAATGTGTTCCTAAAATATTTCAAAAATTAAGATTTTTGCAGATGCAAAATGAAAACACCCATCTATGGTACGTGATCTGTAGATATATCTGTCCAAATTAAGATTATAGTGAGAGACATTTGTACCCCGAGGTATTAACAGAGCGTGTTGCCATTTGTATACCACATCTAATTTATAATACACACATGTACTTCAAAATAACCAATAGTAAACTTACTTTCAATATAAATGGACGTTTAAATGTTGCTGACTGTAAAATTTGGATTCGTTTATAAAATGTGTAGATTTAGATTGTTAAATTAAACGATTTATCATTCCTTGTGGGGAAAATTTTGTAGTTTATTTTCTGTCAGCATTTTAGTCGACAACTTTATAAATTCACCGTTTATTTTTTACAATGAAGTAATTAATTACGTACGTTGTTTCATGAGAAGACATTTATACTTTATTTTTTTCTCATGCATCGATTAATTATCATTACTTTGACTAGAGCAGACGAGATAAATGCATATACATGTTAATAATAAAAATGTGGAAATCACGGATATTATCCAAAGGTAAGATCTTATATTTTTCACACTTTTTAGAAGCTTTTTTTCCTTCATTCGTTCTTTTCTCTTTATTTTTTCTTCATTTTTTTCTTTATTTTATCTGTTTTTTAGGTAATCGTAGTGTGAATGGAAAATAAATCTGGCGATTATCCTACTTTTAAAATTCAGTCAGACGAACGTTGTGTGTGCCTTTTTGATAAAAGATGGAGAAAATCAAAACATCAGGTTTGTTAGCAGACGATAATATTAAGACCGATTTTTATTGCAAATTTTAAATGTATGCATTCAACGATGAGAACTTATAACGTTCGCTTTCTTTTAATCTTTTAAAGATAAGCATGTGTTGATATTGTATGTGATAAATACGGAATTAATATGCGTACTAAGTATTAAAACAACATTTTTCAAAAGGCAAAATTGAGTAATTGATCTATTGCGTGCATCTACGCAAAGTTCATAAATATGACTTATTACCTCCCCTTACATCTCCTAAGTAAAGCCTCTGTGGCTGCCAACTGCACAGGTTATCGCCGTGGAATCAAGCGCTTCTCCCTGGGACCCCGTGACCATCTTTGCTATCCAAATAAGTATCCTTTAACTCGTAAAACACAAAGATATCATTCTCAAAATACTTGTTTATACAAAATTAAACAATTTCTACAAAAAATACACTATCTATGAATAGGTTGATGGATAGTAATGATGGTCCCGGAAGTTGATCTGAGGGGGTAGGGCTTGGTTCCCACGCCGATAACTGTTGTCCGCTGTAAGCAATTATATATACTAGTATACATGTACATTCTTTTCACAACAACAATGTCACTTTTTTCTTCCAACAGTAAGACTTAACAATAAACTTAACCTATAGGTCAATAGTGCCACACTTCAGCGACAAAAAGTTTTTCTGTGCATCCTTGAACAGAACGTATGAGATACATAACTTCAAGTTTTTGATAAATGCATGATAAATGCATGCAAAACAAAGGTTTAGCTCCTTTACATTTAATGAAACACATCGATCCGTGGCAACCGCAGCTGTAATCTTCTTGCGTAAATATCTTAATCAAATCTCTTCTTAACGACAAATAAATGCGTTTTCATTAAAGGCTATTGTTTTCATAAGGAATGTCCCTTTTCCGAATGTCATGTCTGCTTTTTATGCTATAAGAGTATAGTTATCTTAAAGCGGCCTTCAGTTTTTAATTTTTGTTGGAAAATCAATTCTGTGATGTTTCAAACTTAGTATTTCAGTAATTTTATCTTGGAAAAGTGCATCATATCACTGTTAGGCCTTCTTTAAAACAGCGTACCGAGAGTTTTTTTATAGGACACCAGTGACCTTCGTTTCTAAGAATAGAAACAAATCGTCCGCTTTACTAATTGAAATATAGAGACCGGACCGGTAGATCAGAGGTGTTTTTATTGATTATGTATTTTATAGGCGGGAAATTTAATTGTCCACCTTAATTCTTTTGATTTGATAATAATATGAAAGGATTTATCTAAAAATAACGTAAACTTTAATAAAACGGAAGGCCGCTTTAATAAATTTGTAAAATTCCTACTCAGAATCGTCTTTGACGAGATTGCATAATTTCTACAATCCATAATCCTTTATAAGACTATTATTATTGATTCTACTGGACGACTAAACCTTTACTGGTCAAGGTGCTAGCCGAGTCGTATATAGGTCCACAGAATAGTACTCAGCAATTAAATAATGCACTCTTTATTTCAAATCACCAATTCTTCAGGAGAAAACACATCAAATATTCGGGTTCAATAAGCTTTTTAAATGTATATTTATATTATAAAATTTATATTAGCTAGATAGAATACACTATAGTTTATATAGAGTCTTTGGAGCAAAAACGAGGTTAAATAAAATACAATATGCATTTAATACGGATAGTTTTGGACTTCAGAAATGAAAACGATGCGAAATTGGTTGGAATAATGAATTTAAGAAGTGCAGTGGTTAAATTTTTTGTGAATCTTTTTTCCATACTCGATAAACAGTTAAGGGAAACGCACATTTTAGTCGAAGAATGAATCGTTAATCTTAAAATGAGTAATTTTAATACTTATATACTGTATGTGTATTTAAATTCGCGGAAGCAAATTTTCGCGGAAAGGTCCACTTTGGGGGTCTATACAAATATTCGCGCTACTTTGAATTCGCGGAGGTGACTGCCGAAAATCATTAATTCGCGAAGATCACTCGGGTTAAAAAAAGGAAAATTACTGTAATCATCATGGGGGTTCACAGTTATTTTCAATGTATATGCGTTTAATATAAGCATATAATTGGTAGTCACTGCTCTGGAGGGATCTCCACTCAGTTTGAACTATACTGTCGTTGTCTAAACGGTTTTTATTTTCACATTTACCTTTGTTTCCTTTATGATAAATTATTAATCGTTTTGCACTTTTAACGCATAACGAACAAATAATTAGATATTGTAATCGACCATGTTCTATATTTGTACGTTCTTTCTAATGCATAGCTAATTATAAAAAATGATTTATGTACATTTCAGTTTTCCATACGAAGACTTCGGCACCCATGAAGCCATTGTTTATCATTGCAACATCAGCTGGAATACTTTGTATCATTCTGTACAACTTCTATGTCATAACTCCGCAACATGTCCTCAACGGAAAGCAACGTTTGCCTAGTTTCCTTTCCAAAAAAATTATTCCTGAAGAGACGATTTAAATCCAATAACAACGGAAAGAAAGGTGTTCGTAGAAATTCAGATGAATCAGGACTAGATCTGAAACATGTTTTGCACGATATATTCAACATCACAAAGGAAATTGAAGACATAAAAGAAAAGCTGAAGCATTACGATAAGAAACTGGACACGACGAATAAAGATGTCAGCGTTGAGAAATCCAAAAATGTGACATTAAAATCAAAATATCTTCTAACCATATTTTCAACATGGACAGAAAGTGAAGACAGATTACATATCTATAATAACACATTGAGAAATTGGGCAAGTTTTAAACCGATCTTTAACCCTGTTTTATTTACAAACGATACGACTTTAGCAAAGCATGCGCAGAAATATGGTTGGAAAGTATTACCATTGATAAAGGTGGCTGATAATGGACTGCCGATATTAAAATATATGTATATTGCCGCAATAAATGCCTTCAGTTCCACGTTTTATTGTTACGCTAATTCTGACATATTATTTGAAGACGGCTTGGTAAAGACTTTAGTGAATCTGGAATACGCGTTAGGCGCTGAAACGTTAGACTCAACGCCCGTATTTCTAACGGGTTTACGACTGGAATGTAATCAATGTTCTTGGAGATGAAATTTTCACCGAGAGAAAAAATAAAGACACTCATTGCAAAGAGAGGAGCAGTGTTTGTAACATCGGCTGAAGGATTATTTTATCAACCGAAAATGGGAATATATCCATGGCAGGAAATTCAGGACGTTGTTGTTGGCTCCGTTGCCTATGACAAACTGGTTGGTAGCTAATGCACGTGAAAAGAACATTTTACTATAAATTCTTCCAGAACTATTCCAGCGTTACACCAGAGTTTAGATACGAATAACCACAGGTCGCACGTGCGTGACACTGCCAACTATAATGCTAATTTGCTCAAAGATGTTTACAAAATCAATCTGCCGTATCATAAAGGGTTTCTTGATTGCATTGAAAAGTTTACGGACTTTGTAAATGACACTTTTGTTATTGGTGATAGAATGGTTGGACAGTTTTGCAACTGACCGACGTTTCTGTGTTGTATGTGCTCAAATTAATGTTAAAATAGAAATAATAAAAACAACTTCCATGTACACAAATGAAAAAATGTAAATTCCGCAGGAAAAATGCTTATGAATACACAAGGACTATTTGGTATTCGGAAAATTGAAACTAGAGCAATTCTACACAATCCTACAATTGAAAGAGTTTTGCCGGGATGACGGAAACCAAGTGTTTATTGTTTCAGCGAACAACGTTAGATTAAACGCAATCAAAATTGCTGTGAATTGCAGAACTCGTGCATTTAATTTTTGAGCGCGAAGGAAACGGCGTTTATGTGCGCTACATCCATGGTGGCACTAAATGATTACATAAATTACGCAAGTAATATTAACAAATATGCTATCGTGATCAGCATACAGATCAAAAATTCTGTTATCAATCAAAGTTTAAGGGGGATTTAAGGGGATACTTGCAAGTGTTGTTTTAAATTATTAACCACGACCAAACATAAACTTACCACATTGACATTGGAGGTAGGGGCATGGGTCCTGGATGCGACCCGTCATCATGATGTGGTAGATATTTATGCAAAGTTATTTAACACACAAAACACAAAGAAACGACAGATTAAAATCAAAAAATTATATTTAGACTTCGATAGTCGAATATACCCCCTGAATGGTAGTTGCAAACGTGTCTGGGAAACAAAAAATCTAACCTGAAGAAAATACGATGGACAGTGATTGAATACGATGAAAATAAAGGAGGACGAGATGATTGTGAAAGACCTCGACCTTGTTTGAAAACTTTACAGCGGACGATATAGAAATGTGAGTGTACGGTATAGCCTCTGCTGAACGACCCTCTGTACAGCAATTACCTCTTTATAACAACATATTATTTCTTACCCAAAGTAAAGATTTCTACTATATTTACCTCAGTACAGCAATTACCTCTTTATAACAACAAAATTCTTCCCCAAAAAAATTTTTTCCACTATTTTTTTCCTCTGTAGCGCAACACCTCTACATAACAACAAAACTTTTGTCTCGTAAAGGGGTTTGCTCAGCATAGGTTATACGGTATAAAGATTATAAACATGAAAACAGACATGGTTTATTATCCAAACCAGCTTAATTAATAAATAAAATTGTGAAAAAATACCTTTAATTTTCACGTGAGTAATTACTAAGAAGAGATTAAAATGTTAAAATTCTCATTTAAATGTTAACTTTTTTTTGTTTAAGTGATTGATAACACTTGACTGCCGTTTAAAACACGTCTAGCTGGCGAATTAAGAAAGATAAATGTCATTGCTTTTGAACTTTTCTTTTCAGATAGTTTTACTGTTTTTTTTTCTTCAGCAATACGTTTGCTATTCAAATGCGGAATACAAATGGTTTTAAAATTTTAAAAAAGGCCAGCAAACTTCTTGATTGTGCTCCAGATGACCGATGTACGAAATTATCTCCCTGTGATTTGGCCGGGGGTTTTTTTTGCCTTTTTTTCCTTTTTTTTAAATTTTAATTTTTTTTTAAAAAATTTAAAAAACCCCTTTTTCCCAGGGTTCCAAATATTTCCCCCGCCCCCTTGATTAATTTCTTTAACCTCCGGGTTTTTTTTTTGGAGGAAAACCCCTTTCCAAGGCCCAAGGGCCCCAAAAGTTTAGAAACTTTGTTTTTGTAAACCCCCCCCTTTACCGGTTTTTGGTTTTGGAATTTTCCTGGGGGGGGAAAATTTGACTTTTTTCCATGTGATGAAGTTTTAGCTTTAGGGGAAACTTTCAGGGGGTTCTTTCAAGTTTCTTAATTATGCAAAGGGGGGCCCCTTTAAAGGTCTTCCTCCATTAAACGGGGAGGCCCCAATTTTTAAACCTTTAAGAAGGTCTTGTGAAAACCCAAAATAAACTAAAACCATTTTATTTTAAACTTTAATACTTTAAAACGAATTGTTAAATATTTAAAGTCAGAAAAATTTAAATTGAATAAAATCCATCTTTTGTTTCACACAGAGTGGGCCTATATCAATCAATGTTAAAGGCACATTTTGCCTCAGAAATGACTTTTTTTCCTTCTGAATAAAGGGCAAAAATATGCTTTATAATGTTTTTATAAGAAATTTAGAACATAAGAGATGCTTATCACCTGAATAATATATGTGTTTGAAATGTGAAAATAATTTGTGTAAAAAAAAAAATAAAACAAACCGGGTTAAAAAAAAACCCCCAAAAAAAGTAGTTTTTTTTTTACTTCCCAATACAAATACTTACTGTAATACATGAAAAGAATTTCAAAAGATGGCTTAGCTTTACAGTCAATGAATTAACCTTTTTTTAGGAAACTATTTAAAGGACAACAAAAATATAAAAAAAAGGTTACAATTTAACAGATTTGCATTTCTGAAGCTTTAATGCGTCTTTAAAACCCGTTCAGTTTGTTCACGTCTCTCCGTTATTTTTTTTTTGCTTGAATATTTTTCCTCAAATTATTCATTCTCATTTTATTTACCGCTTCGCTTCCGTTTAAAAATTTAAACCCCTTAGAGTTTAACTTTATAATCTACTTAAAAAAAAATTTTAAAAAATTTTAAAAAAATTAATTGGACTGTTAAAAGATATACTTTGTATTTCATAAATTAATATATTTATCTTTATAAGGTATTTTTATAAGTTGTTATCTTATGAGAAGTAAAAACTAAACATAAAGAACTTTCAAAAACACCTTGCATGAATGTCAATCATCAAAAAAATGGGGGAAAAAATGGTTAAAACTTTAAGTTAGGATTTGTTTATTTATAATTTTGAATTTTTTTTCTTTTATATTACAGATGTCAAAATACAATCGGGATCTCCTCGGCTATTATGCCTTTGCAATTGTTACGGGAAAACCTTTTTTGTGTACGGGAATCTTTGGGGGGTTTTTTTTTTAAAAAAAAAGGGGGGGTTTTTTTTTTTTAAAAAAAAAAATGGGGTTAAAAAAATTTTAAAAAAAAAAATTTTAAAAAAAAAACCCCCAAAATTTTTTTTTTTTGGGGGAAAAAGGAAAAAATTTTAAAAAAATTTTTTTTTTTTAAAAAATTTAAAATTTTTTTAACCAAAAAGGTTTTTTTTTTTGGAAAAAAAATTTAAAATTTTTTAAAAAAAAAATTTAAATTTTTTTCCTTTTTTTAAAAAATTTTTTTTTTTTTAAAACCTTTTTTCCAAAAATTAAAATTTTAAAAAAATTAAAAGTTTAAAAATTTTTTTTTTTTTTTTTAAAAAGAATTTTTAAAAATTTTTTAAAAAAAAAAATTAAAAAAACTTAAAAATTTTAAAAAAAATTTTTTTTTTTTTTTTTAAAAATTTTTAAATTTTTCCCTTTTTTTTTTTAAAATTTTTAATTTTAAATTTTTAAAAAAAATATAAAATTTAAAAAATTTTTTTTTAAAAAAAAAAAATTTTTTTTTTAAAAAAAAATTTTTAAAAATTAAAAAAAATTTTTTGGGGGAAAAAAAAAGAAAAAGGGGAGGGAAAAAATTTTTTTTTAAAAAAAAAAGGTTTTTTTTTAAAAAAAAAAAAAAAAAACCCTTTTTTAAAAAAAAAGGGAAAAATTTTTTTTTAAAAAAAAAAAAAAATTTCCCCAAAAAAAAAAAAAAATTTTTTAAAAAACCAAAAAAAAAAGGGGTTGGGTTTTTTTTCCCCCTTTTTTTGGTTTTAAACGGGGGGGTTTTTTTTTTTTTTTAAAAGGGAAAAAAAATTTTTTAAAAAATTTTTAAAAAAAAAGGGGGGAAATTTTTGGGAAATTTGGAAAAAAAAAAAATTTTTTTTTAAAAAAAAAAAAAAAATTTTAAAAATTTTTTAAAAAAAAAAATTTTTTAAAAAAAAAATTTTTTTTTTTTAAAAAAAAAAAAAAAAAAATTTTAAAAGGTTTTTTTAAATTTAAATTTTTTAAAAAAAATTCCTTTTTAAAAATTTTTTTTCCAAACACAAGTATTGTCCCGCGCATGTCTCACATGTTGGCGTTTACATACATGATACAACATCCATTTCATAACTAAATATGATAAACTTATACAATTTTAAAGCACCGTGCCTCCAGATGCATGCTAATTTTGATGAAGTATTTCAAAGTAAAATATTGTGAAGTGAACAAAAAAGTACTTCACACATTGCAAATGACATGTAAATTATTAAAAGAGGTCAAAATATGCAAAAATAATCATTACTCAGTAGAACAACGGTGATAAATATTGCAAAATCAGTCATTAATCGCATATAACATATGAGCCGCGTCACGACAAAACCAACGTAATGCATTTGCGACCAGCATGGATCCAGACCAGCCTGCGCATCCGCGCAGTCTGATCAGGATCCATGCTGTTCGCTATCAGTTTCTCTACTTGTAATAGAGTTGGTAAGCGAACAGCATGGATCCTGTTTTGAGGCATGCAGCTTTAAATTGTTTAACAAGAGATCATGCATGTTGAAATGTGAATAGATATTTTCAAAGTTAGGGGGTCGAAGTGTCTTATTGCGTCGAATAGGCACGAAAATAGATGAAAAGTCCTATGATGAGCAAAAAAAAAATGAAAATTTTACCCAAAACTATCGGAAATTAATTAAACAAGAGGCGATAAAAAAATGGACTGTAATTTATTTGATACATTATACAATATGTAAGGCAA